CTGTGAATCCTGAAAAGGTTAAAGCGGTGCTCGGTTGGGAGAGATTGACATCAATTAAAGAAATTCGTAGCTTTCTGGGAATGGTGGGCTATTACCGCAGATTCGTTGAAGGATTTTCTAGTATAGCAGCCCCCTTAACCCGACTCACAAAGAAGAATGCCAAATTTGAGTGGAATGAGGACTGTGAAAAAAAAATTTCAGAACTAAAGAAACGGCTGACTACTGCACCTGTGCTGACCTTACCGAGTGGATCGGATGGATATACAGTTTACAGTGATGCCTCCTATCTAGGCCTGGGTTGTGTTCTAACACAGCATGGGAATGTCATAGTCTATGGGTCCAGACAGTTAAAGAGTTATAAAAAAATTATCCCACCCATGACTTAGAGCTTTGCACAATCATACATGCCTTGAAGACTTGACGCCATTATTTATATAGAGAGACCTTTCAGATCTATACCGATCACAAAAGTCTGAAACACATACTCACTCAGAAGGATCTCGACATGCGTCAGAGAAAGTTGATAGAACTTCTTAAAGACTATGATTGTGATATCTTATACCATCCGGGTAAGGGCAACGTGGTAACCGATGCACTCAGTAGAAAAAATACAAGTATCTTAGCCTATTTGATGTTCTCAGAATGCAGACAAATTGGGGCTACATAACAAGTTCGACTTCAGGACTTGAGGAGAGTCACATGTTTGGGTCATTTAATCGTCCAACCTAAGTTAATCTAGAGGATAAGGGAAACTCAGTCAGCTGATCTTGCCCTAGTAGCCCTCAAGAATAATGCAGAACAGGGAGTTAGCTCAGAATTTCGAATCTCCGTCGATGGGTTACTCCGATTTCAGGACAGGGTGTGTGTTCCAAGTGACAATGAGTTAAGGAGAGACATCATGACAGAGGCCCATAACTCAAAGTTTGCCATGCATCCCGGAAGCACCAAAATGTACCAAAGCATACGACCCCAGTTTTGGTGGAATGGGATGAAAATGGACATAGCTGACTTTGTGTCTAAATGTTTGGTATGTCAGTAGGTCAAGGCAGAGCATCAGTGCCCAAATGAGTTACTTCAACCTTCACCGATCCCAGAGTGGAAGTGGGAACATATCACCATGGACTTCGTGATAGGGTTACCTAAGGCACGTTCAGGACATGACACCATTTGGGTAATTATTGATCGGCTTACCAAGTCTTCCCACTTCTTAACCATCAGGATGACTGATCCTTTGGACAAGTTGGCAAGAATGTATATCTGAAAAATAGTCAGATTGCATGGAGTCCCAGTGACAATGGTGTCCGACAAGGACCCCAAGTTCACTTCTCGATTTTGGAGTAGCTTTCAGCAAGCCATGGGAACGAAGTTGTCCCTCAGTACTGCCTTCCACCCTCAGACTGATGGACAATTAGAAAGGACAATCCGTACACTTGAGGATATGCTTCGAGTTTATGTCCTTGACTCTAAGGGCCATTGGGACGACCATCTACCCTTGATAGAGTTTGCCTACAACAACAGCTACCAAGCGAGTATTGGTATGGCTCCATATGAGGCATTATATGGGCGCCCATGCAGATCACCGATTTGTTGGGAAGAAGTGGGTGATAGAAAATTGTTCGGCCTGGAGCTAGTAGAGGAGACCACGTCCAAGATAGTTAAGATCAGGAGGAACATTCAGAGCAAGCAGAAGAGTTACGCAGACACCCAGATGAGAGATTTAGCTTTTGGGAAAGGCGACCGGGTGTTCCTTAAGGTCACTCCTTTCAAGGGAATTAGTAGGTTCGACAGGAGGGGAAAACTCAACCCCCAATTTATTAGACCATTTGAAGTCTTAGACAGGATTGGTACCGCCGTCTACAGACTAGCACTACCTCCAGAGCTTTCCAAGGTTCACAATGTATTTCATGTATCTATGCTACGCAAGTACAACCCGAACCCCTCTCATGTCTTAGCCCACGAACTTCTCCCACTCCAGGAGGACTTATCTTACGAGGAAGTACCAGTCAGCATTACAGATCGAAAGAGTAGATTACTCTGCAACTGGAAAATATTATTTATAAAGGTCGTATGACAGAACCACACACCAAAAGAGGCTACATGAGAGCTAGAATCAGACTTTAGATCCCAGTACCCCCAGTTATTCGATCAAGAGTAAGAGGTAAATTTAAGAGACCAAATTTCTTTAAGGGGAGAGAGTTGTAACACCCCAACCCTTTCTTTTTATTTTATTATTGTAATTATTATATGAATATAATTATTATTTATGTAATAATATATTGAATTTAATTTATTTTAATGGAAATAATAATAATAATAATAATAATAATAATAATAATAATGGGTAAAAATTATTTAGGAATTTAATTGAAAATAATTTTGAGAAAAATATGTGAAAATTTAGGTTTTGAGGGTATTTTTTAAAGAAAAATTAAAAACCGGTGGTCAAAATATAATTTAAAAAAATTGCGCCACGTCAGCAGCCCCGGCCAACCAGGACGCGCCGCGTGGCAGAGACGCTGACGCGGGAGGCCACGCGAAAGGGAGCCACGTGGGCGATCCACGTGCGCGCGATCGAACGGCTGAGATCCGTTCCCACGCGCACGGACGACCCAGATCAAAAACGTGCACGGACTGCCCAGATTTAATTGCGCACAGACGATCCAGATTTAATCGTAATGAACAGTCCAGATTCATTTCCTATTTAATCGCGATCGGACGATCCAGATTAAATGCGATGGACGGTTCATATCAAAAGCGGATGGTTATAAATAATCGCATCCGCACCCAAACCCAAACCCTAGCCGCCAGAGCCCCTCGCCGGAGAAGACAGCCCAACCGCTGGGGAGCCGACCGCCGCCCACTGCCGCTGCACTGGAGCAATTTTTGGCCGCCAAACGAGGTAAAAATTCTACCCTTTGCTCAAATTTCAATTTAAAACCCACCTATGGACAAATCGGAGTGAAAGCACAGGCCAATTGGCCAGAAAATGCCGCCGAAGCCCAACAGCGCTGCCACGGGGTGTCTCAATTTTTGCCTCCGATGAAGCCCTTTTCGATTCCCGTTCGACGTGATTTTTCTACATTTGTGATCACTGTTTCCTCCTCTATAGGTTGACCGGAGCAAAATACCAAACCGCGACATGAGCCGGAGGAACCGCCAGTAAATTTCGATTTCTTGTGTTTTTTCGGCCCACCGATGGCTCTAAGGGTATTTTCTCACAGGAGCCGATGCAAGTTTGGCTGTATTCGGCAAAAAATGGTCGAAAATAGCCAACCCGAGGCGGATCACCGCTGCGAGCGGCGGCGCCATCACCGGAGCACGGCGAAGCTGCCGTGCCGGAATTTCGAAATTGGCCGAATAAGCCCTGGGTCTAAGTTTTTGGGTTATTTGGGACATGTGTAGGTACCGTAAGCGTGTTTTAGTTCATGAAAAAAAATTTAGAGAATCTAGGTACCGCCCGTAGGCGCAGTGAAAATCTAATTTTCAGCGTCAAATTAGGTAAGGACCCTTCACTCTATTTCCTATCATGGAATTAAAGTTCGAATAAATGGTAATACTGTGTTTTATGCAATTAATAGATATGCATAATTAATTAAGGTTGCTAATGGAGCCCGAAATCAGACATTATTCTCTGTCGATTCCTGCTTGATTTATTTTAGGTATCTGGTTTATCTATTCTATGGTTTTAAATGCATGAATCACTGCTTACTTCACTACTGTTTAATTTTGGAAATCTAAGATATACTTGCTTTCTTGGATGCACGTTACTTGTTAATGTATTCATGTTTGAGTTGGTAACAGAGACTAAGGACAAATAGGAATGGAATGTGATTTGATAAATAGATAAGATGACAGCCTCACTAGATATTTTGGGAGATGGTGGACGGACCGGGTTCATAGGGAACCCTACTGTGAACGTTGTCTCATACCGGACGGGGTATGGAGACTTGGTCATTTAGCGCTCATACCGAACGGGATATGGGAACGGCCCGCTTTACTCTCATACCAGACAGGGTATTGAGGTTTATTATTTTGGAGCTCATACCGGACGGGGTATGGGGACAGCCTTGGAATTAAGATTGTTAAGGGGAATAGTTCACGTGTAGTGGGAACCCCCTATGGATCCCCATGGATACTAGTAGACTAGTAAAAATGAGAAACGATGATAATAAGTTATTGTTAATGAATACAAATTTATGATATGTTTTATATTACTGATTATGCATGAAGTTGTGATCTGTATGATATTACTGCTTTTGTAATTTGTTTCCATAAATTTTCCGATGGTAAGAAAAATGGTAAATGGTTTTATTATTGATAAATAAATTTGTTCAAATCTACTGCTCCATTGGTTGAATTTGATTTTCTACCAACCTTTGCTTCTGTGACGGTGAATAGTGTGATGTCCTTACTGGGATAGTGTAGCTCATTTCTTATTTAACTATTTCAGATTAGGAAGATCTGGTTCCCGAGCCTGATCTATAAGAAGACGGCGAGTAGATGCTAGATACCTTATAGTTTTCTTTGTTTTTCTTATTTCAAGTATTTCTTTTTAGAGAACTTATTCCGTAATATTGTTTAATATTTTTGAGTTATTGTGTAAAGGATATTAAGCTTAATCTTTTATTTCGCTTCCGCACTCAGATCATTATATGTATTTTCTTTTAAATTTTCGGGACCGTTACATATATCATATGATATTTGACATAAAATTTATTTACTAACGTTTCAATCAAAAAATATTACGTATCATTAAATTTAATATGTGACACTTAAATGTTGTAATGACTAATAATGAGTAATAATTAAATTAAAAATTTATTAAAAGTAAATAGATTAATTGAATTAAAAATTAAGATAAAAATTAATTTAAACAAAAATTAATAATACATAAGACCAAATAATTATTTTAACAATTCTTGTTTGTTTTATTATTAAAATTTTAAATGCTTTCGTTCTCTGGCAATCTCTCACAACTTAATCCTACACATACATAACAGGAAAAAAATAAATTAAAAAGGCAAATTGCTATCTCAAAACTCAACTCTCAAGAGCCGGACATGGATTCAACTCCCGAACTTAGCCTTATTAACCAGGCTATCCAGAAACTACTAGAGGAGAATAGGAACAAGGACGCCTCTGGTTTTCTTTTCCCGGAAAAGGATGATGATCGTCTTCTCCTTTCCAGATTGCTCTCTCAGGTTGGTACTCAGTCATCCATGATCAAATTGAATCTACCATTCTTTCCTTCTTTTTCTACGTAAGTTGTGGAATTAGTGAATCTATCATCATCAAATTCGCGTCAGTAGTAGTATATTGAAAAGCCATAGGCTGATTAGGTCTTAATGTGTTTATACACCGTCATTTGTTGGTCATCCATGCATATATGATGGCATGCTATTCTGGTTATAGTGCATAATGACTCCAATTATGCAATTAGTTTGTTTAAAGGCTATAATTATCTCCACCGGTGCACTGGAAACTAATGCTAGGGGATTTAATACTTTCCATGCTTGTCACTACAAAATTGAACACTCCTTTTGGGTTATCTTTCAAATTTTTTTATGGTTTATATGTATTAAATTTTTGCTATGGATTATATTTTTAAAAATGAAAACTTCTTTCAGTATTCTAATGTAGTGTTTATAACTAGGGTTATTTCCCACTCTTTTAGTCACCTTTATTTGTATTACGTGGTCAATTTTCAACTGACTTTCAAATGATGGTGGATCTGATGCAAATTCTTCACTTACTTAATATCGATAATAATTGGAATTCTTAAAAAGAGAACAAGCATTTGACCAAGTTGAAGTATTGAGTGGACAAGAGACAATAAGTGCTTACATGATAGATGGGAAGTTAGATAATGAGAGTGAGGATGCTGGTCAAGTGGAGGGGGGGAACACTGAAGTGATCACCAAAACACAAGAGATTGATAAAGATCTGAGAAAGGTTTGGAGGCAGAATTCTAATCTGATTTGCTACTTTATATTGGTTATTTTTATTTCATCTGATTCTCCCTTTTCAGTTTTTCAGAGGGAATATATTCCATTATTGTTGAACTTTGATCTACCTTGTGCTTCAAGTTGAACTGCACCACAAATGCATATTGTTAACAATCCCTTATCCTCACACCTCAAATTCAGGTTTCCCTTCTATTAATTCATGATGGAAGGAGAAAATAGAGCTGTTGTATCATTGAATATCATAAACTCCTTCAACCATAGAAATTTTGCAAAAAGGCAATAGAAATACCATCAGGATAGAGACTTTGTCCCCGTCACAACTCATTGAAGCTGCATGGACCTCATCCTCTGTGAAGGTACTCTCAAGCAATGCACTTTTATCTGGTGCACTCTTGTTAAATTGAGGAACATCCAAGTTTTGTCATCATCTACGAATGCACTCTCAAGCACTGCCCCTTCATTTGGCTTGGCCTTGTTAAATCAAAGACCATCCACGTTTTGTCTCCATAATTCTTCTTCCATGTGCAAGTTGCTATGGTATCCCTTGGTCGGTCTCAAGCCATTCTCAATATCACAATCAACCACTCCCAGAAGAAGTTTCAACGAGATTCTTCTTACAGTAGCTGGCCAGGCTATAAAAAATTCTGTATTCCACTTCCCCTTTTTAAACTTTGACTATATAGAGCATGGCTTCCATGCAATGTAATCCATAGTTCCCATGAGCTAGGTCCAACTTAGGTAACTGTCTCATCTCTCTTGTCCTTGGTGAGACCAAAAACTGATTTCTTTCTTAAACTCATCCATTTCTTGAGATGACTTCTTCCTTGACTCAGCCTCCTTTCCCCAAAGTCAATACATTCAAAAGTTAGCTGCCTTTCTCAAAGTCATTGCATTCAAAAGTGAATTATGTGATCAGTTACATCAAGGGCCTAACAATGGATTTTGATGAGGGTAAAATTTATAAGTAGCATCTTAGGTCTTGTATTCTGTGTCCTCCATTTTTTTTGTTTTCAAATACAAATCTCTGTATCTTCACAGGAAATAGCAATAACTTGGGTGAGCTTGCAAGATTTTTTCTTTCTATTCTAGCATAGACATTCCTATGCCCATATTAGGTGTTTATCTGAGGGAATGCAAAGAATTGGAGAAGAAAATCATAAAATATCTGACCATTCTTGTTATTCCCATGTGTAGCCTTATAGTGATGATTAGGAACATTAGTTAGTGTCTGATGGTGCAAGAATGACGCATGCTTGTTGATCTCTAATGTAAGGTGTGACTTCTGGTATGTATATGATTCTCTGTACCCACAGAACCATGAACATGGAAAAGCTCTCTGGGAAGTTTAAATTTTGGGGTCCACTTTTAAGGAGAGAAATGAAGGGAAAAGGAGGGTAGCGAATGAAAAACTGTTTGGTCCTCAGAAAAAAATTAGTTGGGGTAGGAAAATGTTTGCGGTGAATTATAACTCAATTAGGCCAATTAATATTTTGCGGTCCTGACTAAACTATCTTATTCTCTGCCATCTTCCCCTTTGTATCCCTTACTGATACGAATGTCACTCCTTGATCAGCTTTTGTCTAACATAATACTTGTTCTGTGTTGGATTTTATTTCAAATTTTATTTATTTTTGGTTTAGATCCTAATCACTAAATGGAAAGAATTAAGGGTGCTAATGCATATGCACACATATATATATAGTATAATGACTACTTGTTTCCAGTTATGCGAATCACCTTCATTTTCAATTGCACTTGTTGGTTGTCGAGGATCTAACACAGTTTTGCATATCATGATTGTTTGTCTTTATAGTTGGAATCATTCAAAGAAGCAAAAGGATTTTATCAACTGGAAGTATGGGGACAAGAGACAGTAAGTGCAACTGTGGTAGATGGTGGAGTGGATACAGAGAGTCAGGATGCTGATGTGGAGAATGAGAATAATGAAGTGATTGCAAACATACAAGAAATAGATGAAGGGCCTACAAAGGTTAGAGGCAGAATTCTATTACTTGTTGGCTACTTTATATTTCTTATGTTTATTTCACTGATTTCTCCTTTTTGATTTTTGAGGCTGAAAATATTTCATTAGGGTTATTCCTCTTTTCTATTTGTGTGCTTCTCGTTGGTCTCAAAAGATCATGTATGACTTTTGGGATGTCTAGTCTGTCAACACAATCATTAATGAGGGAGAGACGTTTAAAGTTTGGGGTGCATTTGGGGGGAGGAAAATGAAGAGGAGAAGGGAGAGAATGAAGAGTATTTGGTCCTCAGAAAGGTATTAGTTGGGGGGAGGAAAATATATCTGATGAAAATAACTCAAAGAAGCCAACTAATGTTTTGTTGTGAGGATTTAACTATCTTATTCCCTCTCATCCTTCCCCTTTACTTCCCGTATATTAAACAGACCCTTAGCAGACACTAGTGTCACTCCTTGACTAGTTTTATCTAAGAACACTTATTTCCTCTTGGATTATAGTTCCTTTCCTTTTACGGTTTAGGCCTGTATTTGCTTGATATAAGATGAAGAATTAGGGATCTGATACACTAGTTAGTTATCATTGTTTCAAATTTATGCAAATTGCCTTCATTTTCAATTGCAGTTGTCTGTCATGAGGATCCAATACAATTGCAAACCATGACATGATTATTTGTGTTAATAGGTGGAAAGATTAGATCGGGAAAAAGAATCGGAGGAAGTTGAGGCATTGAGTAGGCAAGGAGCAATATGTTCTCACGTGATAGATGGTAAAGATGAGGATGGTGCTGATCAGGTGGAGGAAAGCAACAAACAAACACAAGAAATCATAGAAGAGCTCAGAAGGTTGAAGAGGCAGAACAGTATAACCCATTGGCTCCTTTCAACTACGATCGTGCTCATACTAGCCTGGCAACTGTCTGAGGTGTCCCTAATTCTTAAAGCTAAAGAAGTACTGAACCACCCTTTCAGAACCTTAGGAGGAATGCTTGCAGGGATGCTGAAGCGCCCCGGAACAAATGGGGCCCAGGATGCAGATGGAGGATCATCTTCAAAAAGGCAACCAGACGGTAACCACATCCAAACCCCTTCTCTAAAAATGCCTGAGCTGCCCCATGTAGATTTACCAGGTTTTAATACACATGATTCGAATAATGAAAGCTTAAAATAAGGTCAATATAGACTAAATGTAAATGGAATAAGTGTAAACTGGCCAAGTGAATCATCTCAATGATATTTTTTTCCCTTTTAATCTGTAAGTTAACAGCAGTACTTTGCAGTCTCTGGATCAAAAGTTGTTGGCATTCTGGCAAGAAAGCCTCCTTGTAACGTGCATGTGTGATGAAAAGAATAAAAGTTTGGATTTTAAGTTGGCTGACTTAACAAATATCGACATTTTGTAGAGTCGGTTGTCAGCACTACTTTTCATTGGAACCAGGAGCAGTACATTAATAAATGAAGAGGAGAATAAACAAATTTCAAATATGTTTGAATTTTTCTTCAAGGTAACGATTGTCTCTTGAACAGCCAATCATATTGGGGAAACACAAGCTAAGATTTAAGCTAGAACCACTCTCAAACCTCCAACAATAACAAAATCATAACAAGTATCTTTCACCAACTCCAACCACAAGTCTCTGAATTTGTGAGGACATAAAAAAGGGAAAAGAAGGAGAAACTATAGTCTCAAAACGAAATTGAGTCTCATTTAAAATGTTTAAAACTGAACAGAGATAAGCAAACTTGTTCCAATCCTTGACCTTCAAGCAATGTATTTTGATTCCCAGTTGCATCCAAGTGATCAGTGTTCTTAAGCATAGTTCAACCTGAATATGTCATTCAGGACAAAGAAGCTTCCTTGTGGTGTCGGCATCAAATGGAACATCTGGGAGCAGAAACCACAAATCAATATTTAGAAGAATAGCACAAAAGAAACAACAACCTGTATTACACTTTCCCATCACCGGTAGAAAGAAATAATGTTGATTTACTATCATAACAAACTACAGGAAAATGAAAATGATGTCATTTGGCTTGAAACCAAAAGAAAATGCAAACAGAAAAAAGAGCTGATTAATTCCCACTTCATTAATATGGAATTAAGATGAAATCCACTCCAAGTCTACCTTCAAATTCTATGAAGGTATATCCGTACTTCCCTAACAAGGGATTAGAAATTCATGTCCAAAGATTTCAAGCTAGGGTTGGGGCAGATTCACACAGGAAAACTATGATCCACTTCAAAATTTCTTTTAGATACTTGTAACATAAAACGAAGGAATATGATAGGAATAGCATAAACAGGTCCCTCAAGTTATACACTAGTAGATTTGCTAAAGCCTGCACAAAGATATGACAATGCTTCTTATGTACTAAAAATTAGCAAATATTTAGTTTATTAGCATATTAATAAAAGCATTTAAGCACAAGCAGTATGATAAAAGGGCCAGATATTTGCAATATGGTTGTGACATACTTCATAACATGATAAGAGCTACAATCAACGCTAAAGAAATGTTAGAGCAGCAGCATTTTGTTGGCAGATGTTTTTCATGCAAAAACATGTGCCTCACTGAATTACTTTTCGAAGGAATGAAATCATTTATCTGATAAAAGGAAAGGCTCAAGGCAAAAGATAGGAATGAAATGCAGTAAGTCTTCCATCAGTTTTATCAAATTAGACTAGGAATGCACCAGCACATTCTATAAGAAAAATCAACTAAACAAATATCAGCAAGACATCTTCCGATTGAGAAAAAAAAAAGGGAAAAATGAAGGCAACTAACATATATTGGGCCCTAGATCTACCAAAAGCATGGCAAAGCATATCCAAAATGAAGACCATGATTCCACCGGCAGATCCACAGATTAGCACAAATTGACAATAATCACGGATCCACCAACCCCTATGAGCGCCAAATCGGCACCCAAAACATACAGGAAGCATTCACATATGAAATAGATCCACAAAACAAAGACGAAAATCATTGCTAAATCGGCAATTCCACGATCAGCCAATAGCAGATCAATCCAAACAGACCAAAAACCCTAAAACCCCAATGAACGTTATCCAACTCTGTCACCACAATCAAACATATCGCAGTAAGTACAATTTCGGAGAAAAAGACATAAGAGATGTAGACACGAAAGTGCATATAATGTAGAGAAATGAGACCTGGCTGAACTTAAGGGCGTGCTGTTCGCCGGCGAGCTGGAGACTGCCGGAGACGAAGACAAGCATCCCGCCGGCTGGACCAGAGGGCTGACAATCAACGGTGGTGATGTTGTGCTTGCACTGCTGGAAAGGGAGGCCAGTGAGCTTGGCAACGATGTTTTGTGAGCCTTGGATCTTCTGACCTTCGAAGGTCAACATAGAACCGTCTTGGTACAAGTTTGCGAGACCAGCACGATTAGCATCGAAAGTGGAGTAGTAATGCTCGACGAATGCTCTGGCCACTGCGTCTGGATCCATGTGATTGTTTCCCCTGGTCTATGCTTCAAAATTTCCCCTCTATTTCTATTTTGTTATGGGTGGTGGGTTTGATTTTCTGTTGGGCTGACGAGAGAGAGGGAGAGAGCAAGACGAAGGAGGGAGGTGAAGCAGGCGAGAGAGAAGGGTTTTATTTGGGGGAAGAATAGAGAAGGTTTTATAAGATGCTGCGTGTCCTACGATAATCACACAGATGTACGGTGATTATCGGGTTCTGATCTTAGATAATCATACAGATCGACGGTGATCGATCGACTTCCGCGCCTGCTCGCCTTCCATTTATCATACTTGCTATATGTGACTTTGCGTGGATGTAACGCTGATTCGGATATTTTCTTTATATATCATGATTGCTTTACACAATTCAATTTATAATTATTATTTTTTTTTTTAAAATCACTGTTTCATGCAATTTATCATTTTTATTATATTATAAAAAATTAATTTTTATATGCATTTATCCAATTATTATTAAGGTAATGTTATGATTTTCAAATTGAAATACCACTAAAAAACTAAATTGATATAAATAATAAAAAAAATTATCTCGTAAAGTATAAATTAATTTCTAAAATTTGTTACTTGTTATAAATTGTTTGTTAAATTTTGGTTTTTAATATTTTTTATTTATTTTATGCGCTAATTTCATTCTATTTTCTAAATAAAAAATATACATAAAATTATTGAATCATGTTTAAATATTTTAAAATAATAATTTAAAAAATAATTTTAACTGATTAATAAATTAAATTTTTTTATATTATTATTTTATTTATTTAATTTATTAGTCAAAATTATTTTGTAAACTATTTTTTAAAGTAATCAAACATAGTTTAATTACTAATTTTTTTCCATTAAGAAATAAAAGGAAACTGGTATTTAAAATAAATAAAAATCAAATTATAACAAAAAGTTAAAAAAAAAAAATTGTAGCATGTGTCACGCTTCAAAATTAATTTGATAATTTACCTTACAATTTATTAGTATATTATGTTTTTTTTTCACATTTAATAATTCTATAATTGATGAAAAATTTTACTTTGATCTTGGTTGAGAACTCAGAGTTCCTTCACTAGAATTCAATTTAACCTATTTTAGTGACACAAACAAAAGTATTATTTCCGTAATTTTTAAATTTTTAATGATCTTGAAATAGTTTATTTAAAATTTATTAACTTTTTAAATTATAATTTTCTAAACTTTTATTTTATATTTTTTTATGTAAAATACGTTGTTCTAATAGAACAAACTAAAATTTTTTTAAGATTTATTTATAAACTTACACTTACCATAATTATATGGGATAAAAAATTCTATTAGAAATTATGTTTATATAAATCTAATTTTTATTTATTTTGATAAAATTTTAAAATATTATGTTCATATAAAAGTTCGAGCAAATTGAGATGATATATTCTGATGTTTATTTACTTTAACAAAACTGGTTAAAAAATGGTGACTGTAATACAAATTTATTCACTCATGGGTATTGAAGAAGAAAAAAAAATACAATTCATAAATTAAAAATGGAAGAAGGCTTGTTACTATCTTATCATAAACAAATAGACAGTCTATTCCATGATCATTTTATAATAGTATTTGGTAATAAATGTGCTATTTATATAAAAAAAGTTCTAACTTGTATTCAAGGCAAAGTCTTGGAGATATCAATCGAAGTCGGCTTAAATCTCCCTAATCTTCTTTCAAAAATTATGGCATGTTAATTATGATGTCATCCATTTTGTCATTAACATCTTAAATAATCGTAGTTCTTCAAGGTGATATGCATCATTATGTTGTATTAATACCAAAGTCTAGAGACCCTAGTACACCATCATATTTTAAACCTATTAGCTTGTGCAACGTGGTGATGAAATTAGTAACTAAATGTATAGCTAATAAGTTAAAGTTGTATCTACCTAACATTATATATTAATCTCAATTTCTATTTATATTTGGTCATTTCATCACAGATAATCTCTTGAATTTTTTCACTTCATGAAACACGTTGCTAATTAGTCTAATACTTTTACACTAAAATTGAACATTAATAAATAATATGATCATGTTGAATGAGAATTCATCAAAGGAATCATATTGAAGTTGGGATTTCACTCTTTTTTCATGTTTCATGCTATTCCTTCAAAAAAAGTGTAGACAATTCTGTTTCTCCCAAGAATAAAATATTTTATTTGAAGATAAAGAGTGGATATAATCCTAATTAAATAAAGACATCTTAAAAAATGACTGAATATTTATGCTAGATGCCCTATGAGTGAAAGGCTGAGGAATCCATTACCATTTATACATAAAATGCCCGTATACATGATTAGTTTGGAGGATAAGTCCTTTAGAGTATAACGTTATATTTTTCTTGACATTTATGTAATTGGAGTTGAGTGAGATATATTTTTTATTAAGATCGTGATTCTATTTTGTTTTATAAGAAATATAGAGAAATAAGAATTTTCAAGTACATATACAAATAACTAATAGAAAACAATGCATGACTTGAAAGACTTAAATATCCCAAAGGAAGAACCCATCACTTTCAATACAATTATCATTCGATGGTGTCTACCTTTGCCAAGTATGGTTAAAATTAATCGTGATAGAAGCTTTTGTAGGGACTGCAGGATGAACAAGCACAGCTACAACACTATGGAAAGATCACAAGGCTAGACTTGGATGAGAAAGAGAATTGCCATTGCAATTTGGATGGAAGAATAACTGTATGCCGCAATAATGGGCACGGACCTCACTCTTATAAAGCGTATATCACGAGGGGGTCTTGGAATGAGACTAAAAAGTAGTCCATCAACATCTAGTTAGTGTTGTTTCTCTTTAAGTTGAACTTATTTTAGATTACTTTTTGATTTCTTCAATGTATATTCACTTATGCACCATGAACTTAATCCCTAAAACTTGCCCCGAAGATAGTTTTATTATTACTGTGCTACCATCTCATGGCTAGCATCTTATTTTCTCCTATGGGTATTGGTCAGGTATAATGAATGTGTTTCAATGATTGACTCTTAAAATAATAAAAAAAGAAAAAAAGAGAATCCAGTTCGCAATTACTTGTTAACCCAAAAAGAAACAAAGCAATGATGCCTGATGAATTGCTCAATCTGTCCACTAAACTGTATTAGTTACATCAGTAAATCAGCACAAAACTTGCAGAGTAACAAAAAATGTATTTAAATACATAGGAACAAACTTTATTGAAAGTGATAATATACAAGATGCATCTCCCACCTTTGTTTTGCTGAGAAGCTATCTTCAATTTTCTTCAACTTCCAACTACAAATCTCTATATGATACAAACACTTGAAGAAAAGGGCACTTGAGTCGTCTTCATTTTGTCATTATTCTTTTTATTATTGAACTTTTTGATTTCTGGGTTTCTCTCCTCCATTGCTAAATTCTGAATCCTAACCTCCTATCTTCCTATTGCAGACTTTTTTAACTTTGCACAGAAATCTCATTATACCGCCCTGTTGACTCAGTGGCCTATTAAATGAGAACAACTTTACACATGGAAAAATCATATAGCTTTCCTATCTGTCCTATCATGCGGTCCAAAAAAACTCAAACTCGACCAATCAGCCATCATTCCTATATACACCCTTTGCCAGAAATCATGCATTTCCTGCGAGAAGTACGAGATATGAAAGATGTTACACACGAGAAACAAGCATCGATGGTTGTTGACAGGCTCTAGAGATTCCCCCCCCCCCCCCCTTTTAATGAACAATTCAAGTTAAGATCAAAGGAGAACTCACTCTTGGTAAGGACTCTGAGCCCATTTTAAGCATATTCGTTTGCATCACTGACAACAGGCACTCCTATAATGGTTTCAACCGATCTCTGCTCTATAATTTCCTATCTGAGGCTCATTGGAAAAAGCGTGAAACTTCCCTATATAGTTGCTCTGCTTCAAATGGTTTTGACACATATCCATCCATCCCACACCTACGGCATTCTTCATGTGTAGCCTGGATAACATCCGCTGTCATGGCCAAAATAGGGACATGCCAATTTGAAGTACTTTCATACAATACTTCACCATGCTGAATTCGATTGTTCATATCAAGTTCCATGTCCCGAATCCTCCTTGTTGCTTCAAACCTACCAGAAAAGAAATTAGAAATTCTTTAGCTCAGATAAACCAATTTAGCACTAAATTGATGGAATGCAAAAAATTGCCTTATACTAAGAGAAGCAAGCAGGGAAGTCCAGTGAGAAAAGCAATCAAATTTAACCGTCTATCTAGTTCAAGCAGCCACCATTAGAGGTAAGGCAGCATTATTTAATCCATAGGTGTATGTGAGTTTTCAAATGTATTTTCTAAAAGTTCAAGTGCGGCTTCAATCTTAATTTTAGATTGTAGACTAGAATACTAATATATAAAGACAAAAGAGCAATGGAACATTCCATACCCATCCATTTCTGGCATCTGGATATCCATAAAGCAGGCATCAAAACAGTGGGGTGGTTTGAGCATTTTGATTGCCTTTTTCCCGCTCTCAGCACAGACTACATCAGCTCCATACCTTTTCAAAGCACCAGCTGCCACTCTAAGGTTCACATTATTGTCGTCCACAATTAGAATTTTTCTGCCAAGAAGAAGATTTCGGAGAGACAAACCAGGGAGTTCTCCATTGCGAAGATTCCCCTTGTTTCCGACGCCCATGGCTCTTTGCAATGATGCAGCAAGCATGCTTGCTCTTAGGGGTTTCATAATGACTGTCGGATTATAACCATCAGAAGTAGCACTATTTGCTTTGGCAGGGCTAACTGAATTTGCCAGCAGGAAAAGCTGAAATCCTCGGCCAACTTTCTGAAAATTGTTGGTCATGAGGATCGACATGCTAGAATCCCTATCCCAGACTTCCTGTTCTACAAGGACAACATCAACAACTGCTTTCCCACTGCTTATGCTACGTAAAGTTTGATTTAAATCAGGTACTATGTCCACATGAAGTCCAAGACGTTGGATATGATACCTTGACACCTTTGCTCTAACTGGTCTGTGGTCTACAATTACTGCCTTCATGCCCTGAAACTCCAATGAAATCGACTGGTTGTTGATTTTCTGGCTACTAAATTCATTTGAATTGGAGCAGCCATCAGCGAAGACAGCAGTAAATGTGAAGGTGGAGCCAATCTTAGGAATGCTAACAAATCCAATTTCTCCTTTCATGAGGCCAACCAGACATTTGCTTATGCTCAGTCCAATTCCTGTGCCTCCATGAGTCCTGGAAATAGATGGACCAACCTGCATAAAAGGGGTGAAAACACGAGATTGTGCCTCTAGAGGAATCCCAACTCCTGTATCCTCAACTGACACTATTAGGTTGATGTCAGAGGATGATGATGAAAAGGTAAGAGCAGATCCATCCTGATTGAAAGTTTTAAACCCTGCCCAACTACGGCATCTATCTGCTACAGGCAAACCGCTCAAGGTGTTATTAGATGATGTTTCCGTCTCAACTTCTATTGATTCAACAACCTCCTCAACCAGGTGGACGGTGACAAAAATGTGTCCTTTCTCCGTGAACTGCAAAATATGAAAACAATCAGTTCATTGCTACCTGTTTTAAAAATATTATACAAGATAACCCACATACGACCAGCACATAACTAGAAGGTTAAACCTGCAAGAGGACAAAGTGGCAAAAAAATGATCCTAATATTCTGGTCAGCAAATCAAGTAAGTGAATATTTAGATCTGCCGATCGATCATTTTCCTCATCGATTACAGATAATGATGAAAACATTTTTTTATACTTTTTTCACGAAATAAAATAACATGGCAAGCAGTATCTGATTTTCTTTCTCAACTACCTTTAAAGTGGTGTTAAAACAGATTCTGATTTTCTCGGGGAAAAGAATCCCAGTTGTTCTTCCATATATTCAACTAAAATCTAATGCATACATACCTTAATTGAGTTTCCCATGAGATTGGTGATTATTTGCCGAAACCTTCCAGGATCACCAATAAGCATTTCAGGCACCCGATCAGAGATGTAAACAGCCAACTGCATTCCCATAAAAGTCAACGCTTTGATATGAGGAAAAGAATTTTATAGCAGATAGGTTGAGAAGAGAAGAGGCAGGTTGTTAAGTCAATGCAACATCGTATATATATTTATATATATACAAATATATATTACCTCTACTCCTTTCTCTTGAGATTTTCCAGAGAAGAGCGACAATACATCGTCCAAAATTGCACGCAGATCAAACCGCACTTCCTCAAGCTCAAGTTTACCAGATTCAATCTTTGCCTGGTCCAAAACTTCATTTATCAGTGAGACTAGGGCTTTTCCACTGGCTTGCGCAGTTCTAACATAATCCTGTTGTGTCACGTCTAAGTCTGTGTCCATAAGCATATGCAACATTCCTGAAAAATGAACAGTATCATGTTACCATTGATCCATATTTTTATTATGTTTTAGTCATCCCAAGTAATTATTAGCTGACTGGTAGACTTGACTTAGATAAGTGAATATTGGTTTAGCACTTACCTAGTACACCATTCATTGGGGTTCTGATCTCATGGGAGACGGTAGCAAGGAACTACATGAAGTTGAAATTTGGTTACAACCATGAATACAAAATAGATGAAACTGATGAAAAGTTTGACAGAGTACCTCAGAGATATAGCATACCTGTGATTTTGCAATATCAGCCGCCTCAGCCTTTTTCTTGAGCTGCTCCATTTTGTGGAAATCTTCTTCAACTTTCATAATTCGATTAACAGTTGCATGGAATATATATGCAACGAGCAATGCAATCACAAGGATTCCAATCGAAGTTGTTATAGACAACCATGGCCATGGTGCTTTTTGTTTGAATCTGTGTCAAGGATAAACCTTTATCAATAATTGGAATCAAGGAAGATCATATACCCATTTAAACTGCAGCTCAATCCTTTTAAAAATTATCAAGGGCATAGGGGACTTCAATGCCCGCAGGCACAACTTTCTACACCCATTCATTACAAGCAAAGACAAGATTTTCTAGCACATGAATAGAGGTTGAAATTGTAGAGAAGATGATCCTAATACCCATTGATTGGTGCAAAAGAATCTACAGACTACCTGCATCGCATCTCATGCTTTCTGAAGGGATCTCCAAAATTTAGGTGACTAACATGCTGAAACCAATCGCCGGAGACATTTGAGCCATACATGCTGATTGGCTGAGAGTCATTGGTAGTATCATAAACATTCACGAGAATGGTTTGTTTGCTTGCAAGCTGTTGAAGTAACTTTTCTATGAGAGACTCAATATCAAAGACTCCACCAAGGTACCTGTGCAGGCAAAAGATTAGTTTCGTAAAAGCTCTAGCTAATTTTCATCATCTAAATTATGATGTATGAATGACAGCATGTCATCGGGGCATCAACCTGAAGAAACCCTTGGCATCAGAGAAGAATGTGATCATATCTCAGTGGCATGTGGAAAATACGGTTGTTCTAGATATAATGCAATTTGGATTTTCTAGGTACTCCCAAGTTTAGCATGTACAATCAGTTCAGGGAGCTAATTCATTGTTTTCCTTTCATTTAAACTTTTTCATTTTCCATGAAGCATGCATGTAACATAGGAAGTTACTTAGGATAATGAAACGAAGAACTCCTAAGAACGAAATCTTCACTATTATTTTTTATATTTTTATATTGTCAAAGAAAGCATACCCATCAGTTGCTTCAACCCTCTCATTTGGAGTTGCATTTGATGGGAGATCCCTCTTGTATACTGCAAATGTCAAGATAACTCCAAGCCGGTTTGTTTTTAGTAACCTGAAAGGAGCAGTTAGAACTCCTTTTCCTGATTCTCTAGCACGCAACACGTTTTCACGATCTTCCTGTCAGTAAGAGAAATTACAGTCAAATATTATAATCAGATAGTACAAGCTCCTCAACAGATTCTGCCAGTTTTCATTTTTAAAAAAATCTGAGCTCAAGTGTCCAACAGACCATAAAGCATAGTTGTCAAAGGTCAGTCAAGCCCAAATTTAACGGGCAGTCACAAATTATCTCTAAATTTTCAAGATTTGTCTAACATGACATCTAATAGTCATCTTTTTTAGATAAAAAGGAAAGATGATATCCAATTGTTGAGAACAAAATCTCGGAGCATTAAAAGAAATACATAGGAAACATTCCAAAAACAGTAAATCAACTAACCGTCCCAGAAAGCACATCAAGAGAAACAACATGTGCAATGGTATCCTGAGCAAAGATGACAGGAGCATATTCTTCCTGGATTGGTGATGGCTCCAAGGCTTCTGGGTCGTAGTCATCCTTACGAACAGGGTTTTGTTCCAGAGTATCCATTCTTTTAATAGTCCAGCCCTGTTGCTTCTCAAATTGATCCCTTTCAGAGTGGAGCACCCTCACAGCATATGCCACACCACTTGTGAGAGGCCTCTCAAAAGCAGTTCGTTCGGTGTACTTAGCAAAAGTCCTCTGCAGATTCTTACAAAATTAGTGTCTTTTTTATGACTAGAACTCATAGATAATGTAAGTCGGATATGGTTCTCAAACAGGCTGATTTGACGAAATTAACATGAGCTAGAAATCCACATCAAAGTAGCAAAATTTAACATTTTAATTAAAACCCATAATTTAAGAAAATGATAGGCAATTTAACAGTTGATCATCATATCTTACTCCAAGGTAAGGAGTACAAGTGTTTGAAGGGGCAAATGGGGTTCAAAGCCAATTATGAACAATGGTCAAAAAGAGGAAAACCCCATGGCAGATTCAAGAAGAAAAAAAGGAGAATTATAAATTTCTAGCAGTTGGCTTAACTAAACTAAATTGATGAAGTAAAGAAAGAAGATTGATTGGTTGATGTACCTGATCAATTGCAGATGGGACCTTTCCATGGTGGAAAGTGGAGATCAAAATGGACATAGCATGGACATGGTTCATGCTGACATTGAACTGATCCTGCAACATTCTAGCCCTCTCATCACACATGCTGGCAAGGGTTTCTTTCCTCTTTTCAGTAGCTTGAGAGCTCATATACAAGAAAGTCCACAAGGAGACTAGAGTCCAAACAAGAACCCAAGTGATCAAAAGCTTTCTCCACCATGTTCTACCAACTCTTTTCGACCCAATATAGTGGCAGCAGAAATGGTGGATCTTGCAACTGTTACCAGAGATCTTCTCCCACCAATTGAACCACATCTTCTTCCCACCATCACCAAGCAAACCAGTCTTGCCCTCCTCGATCCCAGCATCAATGAACCAGTTCATGGAAAGTATAGACACAATCCAGCAACATAGTATCCATAGCAAATGCCCCACCTTTAAACCAAACCCAAACACATGGAGCAAACTCATCCAAAATGGTAGAAACAGTGTATAGATTAAGTGGGCGTCGAGAAACGAAACCTCCAGCGGTTTTTTTCTTTTTTGTTTTCCCTGTTCACACAACACCAATCAGATAAAAGAAGACTGGAAAGTAAAGTGCAGAGAGAAGATGCTGTCTTATCCGGCAAGTTCAGTATGCAAGGAGAGGAGGTAAGAGTGAGAGGAAGATAAGAAAATTCACACACCCCACAAAAAAGAATCAAAGAATCCCCAGATTCTGGGTTTCCAATTCTAAATAGAAATTGATTTTAACCTCTCAGGAGCTACCAATTAAGACCCAGAAGATGAACAATTCCCAATTGGGTCACCAAATCACAGACCCAAGAAAGAATCTGAGAAGAAAACTAGGTCGGGGAAGTCCTTAAATCCTGAAATCAAACAAGAAGAAAATCAAGCATGTGGGTGCTGAAGTTTGGCCCAATAGAAGTTGAGAGAGAGAATAAGGAAGCAGGATTTCACAAGTCGAAGAAACAGGAAAAGAAAGTAACACATAAGGATTCATGGACACTTAAGAAAGAGAATGAGACGAGAAGAAGATGAATATGGAGGAAGAAAAATGTGCGCTACCATAGGCCATTATCTCTATCCATACCCAAAAACTTGTTTAAACATTCAATTGAGAAAAAAAAATTAAAAATTTATTTTTAAAGAAGAAAAAAAGAAAGAAAGAAAGAAAGAAGAAAAACAAAGGGAGAGTGAGTGCTTTTTTACAAGTTTGCTTTGTGTTGCCATCACTATCCATCCATACCCAAGTAGACAAGTCCTACACGCCAGTGTTAACTGGATGTGTTTGTATTTGTATATGTTTTGTGAAATGATAAAAGTACCCTCGGAAGACAAGAGAAATTTCATATGGGTTCTTCCCTGGCATTAGATGCCCTGTACTTTTCTCCAATTGCCATTGAACCAGAGTAGGTAAAGAGACAAGGCCCCCACGATGGTAACCTCTCAAGGTGTTATTATGTCTTGGAATCCTTTACATTTCTAACCCCAAAACAAAAACACACGCCA